ATTTAATCGCCAAAACATAAAACACCATTTTTATAAAGCAGTTAATTTCTACAAAAATTTGTATTGCGCATTTTATAATAGTCATTTATTGTCGAGTTATAAAATTCATAAACAAAAATGAAATTTGTCTTAAAATAATCAAACTTAAATCTTCAATATCATTCAAATGGTGAGGTTTACGGAAACAATATAAGATACCTTTTTTGTAGAGCATTAAATTTCCTGCAAAATTCGTCTAGAACATTTTTCTGTACAATCAATTAATGATGAGGTATGAATTTTATTCTATTGGACTGAGAAAAAAATAAAAAACTGCGATGCGGAAGATCTTTCTATTAAAATTAAGAGCTCATATTTGGTGAGAATTTTTTTAAGGTAACTAGCAACCCATTTTTCCGTGGCACTTGTAAAAAGAAAAATAACTGATTTTTTTGACCCACCCTAATATATATATATATATATATATATATATATACGTGGTGTGTGTTATATATCTAGAGAAACATTGTGTCTAACATGAGAACGTTAATACATACATGCTCCGACACACGCGTAATACTTTTACATCTTTTCATTTTCACGAGAACGAAGAAAATTCTAGTACTTCTTATTTCTCGTTTCTTATTTCACCGCTCGATTTCAGATAAGAGAACATTTATATTTACTCAACGAAACCATCCGAGCGTGGATTTACTTAAGCCCGTTTCTCCGATGCCGAGGAAATCTGTTACAAAATATTCGATTTCACGCACGCCTTCTCCTTTTCTTATTTCTATTCTAGCGGAAAAAGAAAGTATTTGACCTCTCGTGAAATATATTTTTTGTTCAAGGTGGTATTACAACAGGAATCAAAGAGAAGAACCGATCGAAGATAGTTCCGGCCATTATATCGTTCGAGATGGTTCTTTAATTATACAAGGAGTCCAAGAAAATGACGCTGGATCATACATGTGCATTGCTAGTAATTCCGAAGGTACCGAGACCTTAGAAATTAGATTGACTGTTTCCGCACCTCTCAGTGTTCATGTACAACCTGCTATTCAAACGGTCGATCTTGGAAAGCCTGCTCATTTGGTAATTCAATATTTATTTAAAATTAGACAATTTTGTGGATAGTTGAAAATCTAATTACTATGTTATTCAGATCGAAACACGATGTGAATTTAGGCCAACGCCAAAATAGGCTTTAGTCTTTGTTAAGTTTAATTGTTTATTGTTAAAATGAGCTAAATCGATTAGTAACAAATAACAATTGTTAATTTCTCATTAATAGTATATTTGCAATTGAAGGTATATATTTACATACTATATATACTCATACAATTTTCTTCTAGAAAAAAAAATATAATATAAAATAAAAATAAAAAAATAAAAGAATATGAGCATTATCGTGTCTCGTAAAAAAATATAATTAGCATTTCAATGGGACGGTTCAAAATTCTTTAGGACTATAGCAAAAAGCATAGGTAGAAAGAAAGAAAGAAGGGTCTCGTATCGCAAATCCTCCTTCTTTACTTTTTACTCTCATCGAGGCTTTTTTTCTAAAACCCCTTTTCAGACGTGCAGCGCAAGTGGATTTCCACAGGCGGCACTCTACTGGTTGAAGGATGGTCAGCCATTGAGAACGGCCGGTCGCGTGAGCGTAGTTTCAAGGGAACGTATCTCCGTGACGTCGGTTGCACGCGAAGATCGGGGCATGTACCAGTGCTTCGTCAGGAACGAATACGAAATGGCCCAAGGAATCGCAGAATTGCGGTTGGGTGGTGAGTAGTCTTTGTTCCTTTACCAAAATGTTTCTCTCTCTCTCTTTCTCTCGCGAATAGAATTCATGCTCGAGGCTAGATTATACAATACTGTGGTGCTATACTATACTATATACCGTATTGTACTTTATTGTACTGTACTATATTATACGTATTGTACCGAAAATGTAGCCAAGTGATATTCAACGTAAAATCAAAACCAAATAAAATAACAATCTTTTTTAATTTTTCTTTTTATTATTTTTTCTCCCTTTTTATTTCTTCAAGTAAACATTTTCTTTTTTTTTCATTCCAAGATTAGATTAAAATCATCAATTTTTTATGTAAGTTAGTTCGATTTCATTAACTCGATTTAGATCACGGTGCAGTAGTAGTAGTAGTAGTAGTAGTAGTAGCAGTGGTATATATATAAAATACAGTTATCAAAGAGCAAAAGAGAAAAAAAAGACGTACAAATGAAGAGTGCTTTCTTTTCGACGAGTCGATAAGATTGGCGGAAAGGTAAACGGCCCCGGCACGGGTTTAACCTGGATCGCATTTCGCTTAACTCGATCGTAAAACAAAGAGAAAAAAACAAAGTTCCATAGCTTACATTTCTACTATGAAGAAAGTACTATCTTTTCGGTCGCTATTGGGGTCGGAAAAACGCTGTTTACATACTTTACAATAACAACACGCGTTTTGAGTAAAATAAATGTCAATTTGAGTGCGGAAAGTTTACTTGTCGCACCCAAATTTCACTTACCGCACGAAAATTGACGATAAAAAGATCACAATCAAAGTGTCAATATTGTAGGCGATAAGATTAATATGTAGTTCTTTTTGTATTTTATTTTTTGTTTAAAAAGGCTATCTTAGACGATAATCTTACTATTTAGTTCTTCATTTATTTTATTTCCTGTTTGAATACGCTATCGAACTTGGTGAAAAGAAACTTCACTCGGAAATTGGAAGAAAACGATATTCCGTTGTTTAAAAAGAACAAAGCTCCGTTATGCAAATAAATTTACTTAAAATTTTTTAACTTTTTCAGTATTGTTTTATGGAGAGGGGGGGGGCTCTGCTCCTGGACCCCAATTATGTATCAAATATGTCTCTGCATTCTTAATAAAAAATAGTATATGCAACTAGTGCGCAGTTGTCGATTGCCCACTAGAGCGAAGCGAGGGCGCTCAACTTCGCTCTCGTGCGTAATCAACAACTTTACACACTAGTTGCATAATATACTATTCTATTATAGCTAGCGATCACCTTTCACAAGCCTCAATTACGATGAAGTCGTATGCAAACTACGTCATCTTTCTACTAGAATTGACGTTCGTTTAATTCTCCTGCTGAATTTGCGGAGACGCCTGTCGCTTTTTTTTTAGATCGATTTGTTTAAAAAATCAAGAAAGAATGAAAATAATAATGGAAATGATAATGAGAATAAAAAAAAATAAAAAAAATAAAATAGAATAAAATAAAATGTAGTGGGAAGGAAAAAAAGGGAGAAAGGGGGGAGATGATCGAAGAACGAACAAGAGATAAAGGGGAAGTATAGGGCAAAGATCAGAGTTTGGAGAGGGGGACAGTGAGAAAAAGAACAGCCAGGAAAAAACATCAGGTGATTAAGCAAGCGTCTTTTTTTGTGCATCTTCTTTTCTCGTTGTTTTTCTTCTTTCTTTTCCTAACTTTTCTTTCTCTCTTTCTCTCTCTCTCTTTTTGTTTTATTTTCTCAATATCATTGCTTTTTTAAATTTCTTTTTTGATCGTATTGGCGAGTGGTCTAATGCAAGGAAATTGCAAGGCGTCGCTATGGCGAACGTTAGTTTGTCGAACGAATGGCTTCGACGGTGATAGCTTGCACGACGACGGTTAATGCAGCGCAGAACTTTAGTTTTCTTTTTGTTTTTTCTATAGAATCCCCCATTCCCGGTTTGCGTGGCACTCCACCGTAACGTATTTTCCATCATCATCACGAATCGCTGCGGTTTAGAACGAAAAAGATAAAGAAAAAAGAAAGAGAGAAAAAAGAAAGAGAGAGAAGAGAAAGAATGAGAGAGAAAAAAGAGGAGGAAAATGTAGTAGGAAAAGAAATGGACGAACAAGTAGGTGGGGGAGGGGGAGATTTTTTCACGCAGAGGAGGAACCGATTTCGAATGGTCTAGCTTTTTCCAATCGGAACCTTCTCTCGCAGCAGTTCAGCGGCGAAGCAGGAACCATTTGGTCAACGATAATCGCGCGAATACGAGAACGTCGAATGGTTTTAATTACAAAACCCCCATACACGGCCCCATGGTCAGTGTGTGCCCGTCCTTCGATAACACGTTGCCGACCCGAACAATGCCGTTCACTCGGCTTTTGTACTTTCGAACTTGGTACCTGTTTCTGTATTAGCATTACTCTTTACTTTTTCTCTCTCTTTATCACTTTTTTTTATTTCTTTTTTTCTTTCTTTCTTTTTTTCATCTCTCTTTTTCTTTCTGTTAATCTTTCGAGATTAAAATTTTAGAGTTGTATTCACCGATGGCGAAAAGTTCAAAAAGTTCGATCATTAAGTACTAATGGAATTTATTTCTAATGAAAATTTTCTCGATTACGATCTTTTTTATTTATTTTTTATTTTTGCGTAGATTAAAGACAAATAAAGAGAGAGAGAGAGAGAGAGAGAGAGAGAGATAATTAACATCAGAAGTACAAAAGGACACAAACTAACGCATATCATGACTCTTTTCGTTGTCGAACGGACTATTAAAAAACTTCATCGCGTGAATTGTTCAATCTTCTTTCACGTTCACACTACAACTCTCAATCACAATAAAGTAATATCTGTTCTTTATTTGCCTTTTCTATGCTAGTCGGTTCAATTGGATTGTAATTTCGATATAGATGGAAGAGAGGGGGTTATTCATGAAAGTTAACGTTAGAATAGTTGAAAAAAAGAGAGAAAGAAAAAGAAAAACTATAGTTATCTCATATCTCTTCTTTTCTCTCTCTCTCTCTCTCTGTCTCTCTCTCTCTTTCTATCTCTATTATTTTAAAGGTCAGAGGTTATACCATATTTCGAGTTAAACAAAAAAAAAATGTTCCCCTACGATACCATTTCAATAGACGGCACGTTTCCTATTCGTTTAGTCGATATAGTTCAAATCCAAAAAATTCAATTAAAATAAAATTCTACGAATCATCTGTTTTATCATCACCTTCTAGCACTTTCTAAAAACATTACGGAAGTTTTATTATATATACATATGACTAAATAATATTTTGTATAAATTACATTTTTCATATATGATATTTGTTTTGTTGTTTTTGATATAATATAACTATGATATGTACCGCATATTTTTTTATTTAATTATTTTCTCGCACAATGGTCCATTCGTTGGACGGAAAACTGTTACAAATGAAAAGGCAATGTAAAGAGCATTTCGATCGGTCGAGATTCATATGGTTATATATATCTGGTTTTGATCGATGCGTTTGCTAATGTATTTTTCAGCATGAAATTGTATCCGACGAATAACGGTGCTACAGAAAATTGTTATTTTTATTTTTATTTTTTTTTTGCTTCGTTTTCCATCTATCCCCCTCCGGGATACTCTTCTCTTACTAACTCCAATGTAATATGAATATTTCTAGTCGTGTATCAAATTTATCGTATCACATTTACTTTATCAATATTAAAACTTTGAATCCGTGAAAATAGCTGATATTTTTTCGCCGTTTTTAATTTTCATTTTATTCTTTTATTATTATTTATTTTATTTTATTTTACTTTTTTGTTTTACTTTTTTCCTTTTTATCTTTTTTTTCTTTTTTTTTCCTGATAGGCACACGTACGCACACGCATACACGCGTTTGTAACAATGCACGCAGCTTCGACAGGAGGTATAGAATTTATTGCTAAATTGAATCCATTTATTTCGATATATGGTGACAGGAAAAATGAAAGAGAACAAGAAGGAAAAAGGGAAAGAGTGAGAGAGAAAGAGAGATGAAAATCAATCGAACATTGATCCTCGTCGCTTAGGATGAAACGAAAATTACTTCTATTTTGTTACATTATTTAACAACTTAGCTTCATTAAATTTTTAGAAACCGATTTCAAAACCATAGAAATTCGTAAATTAAATTTCCACTTGGATTCTGATTCTGGTCATATTAATGGAAAACGTTAGGATAGAAAGAAAAGAAAAGAAAACAAAAGAAAAGTAAAGTAAAGTAAAGTAAAGTAAAGGAAAGAAAGAAAGGAAGGAAAGGAAGAAAGAAAAACAGTGGACGTATCGTTGGAAATTAATTTTAGATCGTAACGAGAGTTGAACGTAGAGTAGTAGAACCTTTGTCCGTTGCGCCATTATGTCTAATGAGTACGCCCGCAAATTCGGATTTCGCGATGGGGGAACCTCGTGGGGATCGTACGCTTTTATCGCGTAAGTGGATATTCAACGGGACTAGACGTACCTCTCAACATTTTCTAAAAAGAAAAAAGGAAAAAAATCTTTTTCGCATGAGAATTTCAATTAAATTACGTGAGATGTTTCTAAGAGTATACGTGCCCATCTCTATCTAAGTACGTGAAGTACGTAAAGGAATCCTTTTTATTATCATTTTGCTTAACGAATGATTTTGGATTGCGAACAGTGTAAAAAATGTGTGAAAGAAAAGAATTAAAAAAGTGATAAGAAAAGTTGTATCAAACGATATCATTGATATTGGCAGCTTGCGTTATTCTTACGTCTAATTCGAAAATTCCATCTATTCTTTTTCCTTAAAGTCTTCAGTTGAATAGGTATACCTTAGCAACTTTCAAAGGCTATTAACCTTTTCTATAGGATCGCGTATGCTAACTTTTATTATTATCGTCTAAGAGTTGAAATTATCTTTCGAAATCGTTTATAACTCCTATTTTAATAAGTTATACTATAAGAAGAATGTTGAATAGAAAAAATAGTTTTAAAAAAGAAAATGAAAAGAATTCCCCAGAATAACAACCAAAAGAAAGTACAAAAATAATGTTCTCTCTTTCACTTACTTTTCGTTTATCCTTTCTTTTGTTCCTCTTCGGTTTCATTCAAGTTGTCACTTGGTTAGATATCAGAAAGTGAAACTATTTTCACTTTTGGTTGAGACAGGTAATTGGAGAAGTCTCAGTCTAAGAGAAAAACCTTTCAAAGTTTTTCGCGTTAGGTTCCCAGAAGAAACGAATATAGGAGTGGTAAACAACATAAATTGATTCAATCTTTTGATATTTCATACTTTATCAATTAAGTCCTTTGGAAGGATTTGCTCTCTCTCTCTCTCTCTCTCTCTCTCTCTCTTTCTCTCTCTCTCCCTTCCTCTCTGCCTCTAATTTATAGTTAACTCAATCAAGGTATAAACTTCCTCTAATATAATCGTCAAGGTAATTAATTAGTAGAAACTCGAATTGTCCTAGGGGAAAATGTAGTTTCCTTTCTCGAGTGATGTGTTTAAAATATGGCTTGGCTAGACTACTGGCACCGAGAATAGCATAGTGCACTACTACTATTACCGCTGGTTGTCGGACCAAAGCGCGTACTCTCGCTACTCGTTATCTTCCTCTTTCTCTCGATCTGCCTATTTTTGATATTCCAAAAAGCGTGTCTCTCTCTCAACTCACTCCGTTAGTCCCTCTCACTACACTTTTCTTTCATTCTCTGTACGCAAGCAAAAGGAGAGAGAAAAGAGTTTGGAAAATCCATTGTCAAAGTATCGACTCTTTTTCTGAGATTTGTCAAAGCTAACGATTTTCTGAACGAGCCTTCATCCAGTTCAGAGGTGGAACTAGATCGTGTGTACGTTGGAGGAGGGTCTAGAAAACCTTCAATTACGGTGAACGAAGTTCTCTACCGACGCGACCGTCAATTAGTAACTCTCACTACCGACCTTCAGGGAAGAAGGTGAAGTTGTACACCAACATAGAAGACGAGAACATGTTATAGCGAATGARTGAACGAGTGAGTGAGTGCGATAGTGAAGTACAGGCTCGTATTACCTTGTCATTAGGATTCTTCTCGGCTCCATGATTTCTAAGCTGCAGGGCATCGAGCGTGCATTAGGTATAAGGGGTAAGGTGAGTGCTGTGGAAGATCGCCCGCAGCACGATCGGATAGTTAGTACCGTCACCTTGGATTTGCATACGCTAACGAGATTCCTACGGTTTTACCGATGCTTTGCATGCCGCTCTCGACCGGGCACGATCTCGCATCGCCCTGCATTTCCACCGAGTCATCTATTTATTATGCGTCATAGATACGTCAGGGGCTAAACCATCTTCGCGAGAAGCAACTTCTCTTGCAAAAGCTACCAGAGAAAGAGAGATAGAGAGAGACAGAGAGAAAGAGAGAGAGAGAGAGAGAGACAGAGAGAAAGAGAGAGAGAGAGAGAGACAGAGAAAGAAAGAGCTTCACCTATATTTTTTTTTATGCACACCTTGACATCATTTTTATTTTTATTTATTTTTCTTTCTGTGTATGTATGTGTATATATATGTATACATATTTGCATATACATATGCGTATTTTTTTCTCTCATCCGCTTTTTTTTTCTTTTTTTTACATATTTTTTCTTCCCAATATTTTTAGATTTATATACCACTCGGGCCAATTGATTGAAAAACAAAATTAATGTTTTTTTTCTTTTTCATATATTTGATCAATCAATGAAATGAGAAAAGAAATCAAAAAGGAATAGAAAATTATGTTACGTATATTGGATTTGACATAGTCGTATTACCTATATTGTATATATACAAATGCCTTTTGTCCTCTCTTTGAAATCAAACAATAGCGACTCTCAATTAAATTCCTATTTCTATTTTTCACGATTTCATCATTTTCATTTTATACAAGCATTTATTCTCGCGTCGGAAAATACCAGTCGTACCCGTCTGTCTGACCGCTCGTCAATTATACTACTGAAAATACGTAGCTTTTTAGAAAAATAAGCAACACCACTCAACTGCTCCACTATTTTAAACGATCGATTCTCCACGAGTTTGTATTATTCTTTGTTCGTTTATTTCTTTTTTACCTCGTATCCCTTCTTTTTCTATTTTTTCATTTTCTATTCTTTTTTTTTCAACATTTAGTATTAAAAACAACGACGAGAACGTCGTCGAAATTATAAAACTACAAGACATTTTCTTTTCATTTTCATTCCCTCATAACTTTTGTTTTCTTTTCTTCTTTTAAAAAGGCAAACAACAAAAAGCAAAAGAATACAGAACGAATAGGTAGCTAACTAATTTTCACTATGTCCACTGTCTACCCTATGTACATTTTTTGTTTCAACCTTCGTTGTAAAAGTAAGCGTTGGGAAAGTTCATTGTGTGTCCATTTTTAAATTCATTAATTGGTTGATTCAAGATACAGAAAGCACAACTTCTTTTTTCCTTGTGTAAAAATAACGCGGTCTAATTAGATAGGCGAAATTGTTAATTTACTAATGATCTTCTTGAAGAAAACTGTTCTTTTAATAAAACACACGCAAATTGTGGCCACCGACAAACGAACAGCAACGATGACGACTTATTTTCTCTTTCTCTCTCTGCCCTTTTTTTCGATACTTATCAAGCTCACGTTCGGATTTTAATTTTCAAATTAATCCAACGTGGTCAAAAAAATATATTTCATAGATTGCGTGTTAATTTTTATATGATCGAAAAAGAAAAATATTTTATTGATGCGTCGATAACCGTTCTTTATGAAATAATTTCATCGATGTAATTTAAATTTACTTTTGAATGATTTTAATGGAATAAACGTTTTTGTAATAGTATAATAAACAGTCTGGAACAGAGAGAGGAAATGAGAAAAGAGAGAGAGAGAAAGAGAGAGAGAAAGGAAGAGTATGAGAAATTTTGTCTTGACAGTGTGGATTTTAAGGAGAGGAGGTAGCATTCAGATATGCGGAAACTATGAATGTATGCGAAAACTTTGACAAGAGTCAACGTTATCTTATCGCAAGTATAGTTGTGTGACTATGGATTTATATGTGTATGTATGCACTCGCCTTATAAAGTTCATGAATTTATTAGCAAATTCCAGCTACAACTCGTTACGCGACTTGCTAAAACGTAAAGTATCTTTGAATGCAGTTTCACCGTAGAGATACCCATATTATTATCCCGGTACATCGAATTTTTCATCTTTCAATTGTTTTATATCATTTTTTTAAAATTCATTCATTTATCTCTGCCTCTCTCTCTCTCTCTCTATTTTCTCTCTTTTTATTTTTTTTTTTCTTTTTGTTAGAGAATATTGAAATTTCATAGAGAAACCATGTAAAATATAAAATGAAAAATATACTCTTGAAAGAGAAGTCATAAAAATCCGATACTATGTTCCATCACATTGATTTAGATGCTTCTTCTTTTCTGTTTCTTCAATCTCATCTTTCTTATAAAATATTGTATAATACAAGTTGTTTGTTCCACAAACATTTTTCATAATAAATTCTCGACCAACTAATTATATTGTCTAAAAGTAAGTTTTTATTCTTCGAGAAACGACTCTAGCTTTTCTTTTTCGTTTTTGATTTTGTTTCTTTTGTATTTCTTTTATTTATTTTAACATAACGTAATAGTTTGAATACGGTAGCTAGAAATATTGTGTATAATAGAGAGAATAGAAATTCTAAAGTTAAAGTAAAGTTTCTTACGAATTTCAGAAAAGTGATTAAAAAAATCAACTTGATAAACACGAAAAAAAGAGAAAGAGAAAGAAAAGAATAAAAGAGACAGTGTTAAAACAATGAATGAGAGATAGAAAGAGAGAGAACAACAATAAAATACAAGTATAAGAATGAAAGAGGATAAACAAATATTGTTTGAAAGCTTTCAGTTCTATATAATCTAAAGCATAACGTTTGTTAACAGAGATCGCACCACAGCTAGTCTACAGGTTTATCGAACAGACAATGCAGACTGGTCCATCGGTTTCTCTGAAATGCAGCGCCGCGGGTAATCCCACGCCGCAAATTTCCTGGCTGCTAGATGGATTTCCTCTTCCACAAAACGACAGGCTTCTGATTGGCCAATACGTGACCGTGTACGGAGACGTAATATCCCACGTTAACATCACATCGGTTAAATCAGAGGATGGTGGAGAATACGAGTGTACTGCCAGTAGTAGAGCAGGGGACTCGAAACACTCAGCAAGACTGAATATTTACGGTGAGTTAATAACAGACAGGGGATGAGAAGGATTAATCCTTTCGACAAGAAAACGTAACGATCGTTTAATTTTTAATCGGAAGAATTTTTTATCGTTGAAGAAATTTATAAGATATTATACATATTTTAATTATATATTCTTTTGTGATTTTATCGACAATATTCTTATTCTTTAGGTTTGTTATTTTTTTTTTAGTATGTATACAGGATATCTATAAGAAAGAATATCAAATGATATTTAACGTCCTGTATATTTTGCGAACTTGTCACTATAGCACTTAATTTCCTTTTATAGATCAAGTAGTTTGAGTATAAGTTAAAAGGAATTTTCTATAATTTTCAATCTCAGGATTGCCATATGTCAGACCCATGTCGACCGTCTCAGCGGTCGCTGGGAAGCAACTATATATCAAATGTCCTGTAGCTGGATACCCCATCGAATCAATAGTATGGGAAAAAGGTAAGTTTACTTTATCCAAGAATTTTCATCGTTGTTGACAATTTAGTCAACAAAATTTTTCAGTTAATTTTTTGTGTTTTTTTTTTTGTCCAATTATTAATAACGATCTTGACAGGTAACGTAAAACTGCCAACTAATATGAGACAAAGAGTTGCGAATGGTACTCTTTTCATTGACACCGTACAACGTGCAGCTGATCAAGGCACGTACACCTGCACTGCCAGAAACAAACATAATATTACTTCACAACGATCCGTCGAAATTCGTGTTTTAGGTAAGTAAACAATTAATCGATCGTGTTCATTAAGCAAAACCAATTATAATATTCATCAAAACTAATTCTCCATTTCTTTCCCCTTAGTTCGTAGGATGAAAAATGGTTGATATTTTCCTACTTGTCCATTAAAACTCTGTAAGTAAGCCCAATTTTCTCGACGTAACTTGTCAAAAATATTATCAATCGATAGTTCGGCTTTTAGTTTCGTATAGGATTTATCCCCAAGTCTTTATTTTTTGCGTCTTTTCAACATCAGTTTCCCAAAGTCTTATGTGATGGGTTTTAGGGTAAAATAAGGATCATCGAAGTATGATAGTCTTTTACAGGTGTAAGTTTGAGAGTTGAGAATTATAAGAGAATCCTTAACGTTACACGATTCTTCTATTTTCAAAAGTACTTATTATTAAAGAGGAAATATCGAAATGTATCGAGAAAATTGGGATTAAAATGTATGTATGTTTTCTTTTTTCAAATTTCTAGGATGAAAGAAGTAACGAATTTAAAAAATCTAATGAATGATTAAGTAGGTTCCTTAACTAACTATACAGAATCATTCGAATGATTTAGTCTACCTATCTAGTTTAATCGTATTTCAAGGTATCGTTTCGTTCTTGAATAAATCTATAACCACATTTTATAAACCTTACTCATTTATCGATCATATTCATTGCAATTTATGTATACATAATCGAGCGGCAGGTTTGACAGGCATCACCAGATTTATCTTCATACAATGTTTCTATTAGCTTTACGGGATCAAACGCAGACTCGAGTCTACTGTTTGGACAGGTTTGATTATCATGCGACAACATTGCACGAACCCTACTCAACAAATTCTATGTTTATCGCGTTGTATGAAACTTCCAGGAATAACGTAACCTTCGAAAGTTCATCATTCTCGATTACGTGATTATTATTATTATTATTATTATTATTATTATTATTATTATTATTATTATTATTATTATTATTATTATTATTATATTATTATTATANTATTATTATTATTATTATTATTATTATTATTATTATTATTATTATTATATTATTATTATAACTCTATCGAGATTACTATGGCCAGGATTAACACAAACCACCCATGCAAATTACACTTACACGAATTCTTTGAGTTCTATATTTTTCTTCGAAAAACAAAAAAAAAACAAAAATAATAGAACAAAAATAAAATCATAATCTTTCGTTACTTACTTTTTACTTTAATTTTTACATCGTATTACAGATAGAATAGATCGATCGCTCGATTCGAACGCGAAAAAATATACTAGATCGTTTGGATAAACAATGGGCGATGTTTAAACGACATATTCAACCATAGGGTGGCGCAAGGATGTCTTTAGCTCAATGCGCTTTCAGCTACGAATCGTATTATCGTTTCACGATAATTAAACGTGGTACGATATGAGAACGAATTATAGGCAAAAGCTCGTTGTACAACGCGCGTAAAACGATTGAATGTGTACCTAACTATATATAGAGGGGATATTAGTAATAAAGAAAGAGAAGGAGAGAGAAAGAGAAAGGGAAAGAGCGGGAAAGTGAAAAAACCAGTGATTTGACGAGCAAGAGAACGAATTAAAAAAAGTATATTCTATTCAATTGAAATCTTCCTCCTCTCTCTCTCTCTTTCTCTCTTATTTTCGAGTCCCCTTTTTTCTCGAATCGAAGGGATTCGAAAAAACAGTATGATATGGGAAACGTCAATCGTCTAATTAATCCCATTTTTCAACCACTACACGTCATTTGATTTGCTAATATTTCATAAACCAAACAAACGAAACGGATTCTCCTACACCATTACAAATACGAACGGCTGCTGCAGCTTTCGTCGACTATACACTACCTATCAAAATCGCGACGAGGAAATTCTCACTGTGACGTGCGGAAACGACGCGAATGAAACAATGAATTAACGATTTTGAGGTTTAATCATATCTTTTGATTGAACCGTGCAAGCTAACTCGCGCGATAGCAATTTATTTTCAGTTTCTATATTATTTTCTTATTATTATTAAATTTTTTTTTTATCTTTCCTTTTACAATTTTGATAGTAAAACACGATTAAAAAAAAGTATACAGAACACAAGTTTATTACAAATTTTTCTTGTCTGGCTTGGTATTATATTTAAAAAAGTATTGTATTACTTTTGTTTTTTTCTTCTTTTTCTTCTTCTTCTCATACATTTTGTTTTAATTTCAATTTGTAACGCATCTTCCGTTTCAAAACACGATACAAAATCTACAATACGACACATAAAATGAATTTAGGCCAGGATTCTCGTTTTACTTTATAGGAATGAAAACAGGTTCAAAAGTCTCCTTAACATTTATCAGGGATTTACCTACATAAACGTAAATAGTTAAGAGAAAAGTAATGAACATTGTTATGCGCGTGTGCGCGTATCTGTGTGCCTGAATATCCCGGAAATGACCCACGCACAGAGCACAGCACTTCACTTGCATCGCTGAAGCATCTGTCCTTGCACGCGCTCGCCTTAAAACGCTCTGTACTACTTCGTATACATATACTATACATATATATATATATATATATATATATATATCTGTACATATACTTACATATGTATATGCCTAATTAGAAGTGCATATTAATTAAATTATAAATATAATAATATAAATATATATAATATAGGATATGTGCATTTGAAGTTATACGTTAACATTTTATCGTATAAAATTTTGTCCCTTCTTATTTCAAATTATAATGTTTGTATTATATTACGAATAAGAAAATTATATCTTTCAAACAGTGATAAAATGTTAACTTATAATTTCGAACACGCTGTACGTTCGTGTACATATCTT